ATAAACCACCTTTTGCGCGGCGCGCTTCGAGGGGTAGTCGACTTTGGGCGCCCAAAAGTTTCTTACAGCGCGAATCGCGGTCTCTCTTTCTCGTGTCACTAATAGAAGGTCGAGCTATGTGAAGTACCCAAAAGTTGAATACGATTTTATGCCGGGATTTTAGCGAAATCTACCAAAATGTGAATTACGAATGAACGGGACGTCGGAACTGTGTATCGGGTTTGTTGCGGGTGATCAGAAGTGGGTGTCGACAAAGGGAATATGGTAACCCCCAAAGGATTTTACTGATGGTGGAGTCAAAACTTCAAACGTGAATTGCAAGTGCACGGTAAGTGAGAAAATGGTACCGACAAAGTGAACGTGGTAGCTTTCGGCAAGATCTTATTGATGGTGGAGTCAATATTGGCTAATAAAACACTGATCTGCCACACAAAAATGCGCTGAAGTCCCTTCGATCTCACACGAGGACTTTGATCATTTTTTAAACCCGAATGTGCAAATCTGTCCCTCTTAGGGTCGGAAATAATAGTCAAATTATTTCAATTTGAAATCCTTTACTTTTTGGATTGATCGTTCTGTTTAAAGTAAAAAGTTCCAATAAAAATTTGTATATAAAGTAGCAAGATTGTAACCCTTCATTTCGAAGTAAACTGACGGTGAGGTATGCAGGTACAAACTTACTTAAATCCTTTATGAATGCGCAAAAGTTGTAAATTATTTGTCACATCAAGGGCGCGTCAATTGTGTGAATGTTGGTAAATCTGTATTGTTAAAAAAAACACCTTTAGATAGTAGTCGACGTGACGTACATAGGTATATAATTTATCGAGAGTAAATACACAAGAGCTTGATTTTTAATCGCATAATTTTATTTTTACACGAAAGTTTTGTTATAACGGAAAAAACTCGAAACCAAAAGTGTGATAAAATCGCGACAGTTTTAGCTGGAGCGATTTTATTAATATTATGCTTTTGATCGAGAGTTTTTTCCAGGCAACAAAATTTGAGTGAATTAAAAATAAAATTATCCTGACCAACGTCGAGTGTATTTTAGGGAGATTAATAAAAGACAGTAAATTTTACAACCACTACATATTTTACGTATTCCTACACGCATTTTTATCGCTGTAAAACGCTATCTAGCATTTAATCAGATAAAAAATCATCTGATTGGTTAGAATTTGAAACAATCACCTAGCTGATTGGTCGTATATTAATGGAGTGTATTAATCATATAAAATACATATGCCTTATTTGCACCATAAAAATTAGTTAGCTACGGAAATTACACATAAGTATATAAGAACTGCTTCTTTGTTTTTTAGCAGAATTAACAAATATGCTGATTGATTTAACGACTTTGTATAGGTTATGAGTAGGTACGTTCGTTGAAATTTTCAAATTTTGCACTGCGCTGTATTCTAAACGATTTAGCTCGCAATACTGTGGTAGTGAAATTAATACTGTGACTTACAAAAATAATTGTTTAGTGAGTAGAGCACAAAACAAAAAAATTTCACAAGAAACAGTACCTAATATGGAAATTTTAAAATTAAAAATTCATAATATAGTACGGTGCAATTAGTCGACAAAACGGCTTAACCTAAACATCAAAAGTAAAAGTTTCCCATTAACTGCAAATTGTTCTATACAGTCCACATATTGTTTGGTAAAAAGTTACACCAGTTGGTAAATTAGTAGTTTTTGGTGTTTTTCTTAAATATTTAGAAAACTATGGGGTTTGGCGAGAAAAGTACCATAATCCAAAATAATCTACATTAAATTGTGAATAAAAATGGTCTTGTATATAATCTTGCTCAAGTCAACGATTCCAGAGTTACGGAGGGTGTAACAGTAGGCATTTTTCGTATTTTTTCGATTTTCTGGAAAAATGAAATCATGTTTGAAGTAAAGAACACTGAAGATCTGGCTTGTTTTCGTTACCAGTGTTACTTGCAAGCTATTTGCATCCTATACATTCACTGTTCAAGTTGGCTGCGCTTCTCCCCACTTCAGCAGCTACCAGGTAGAACATTCATTTAGAACTTACCATCAGGTGCAGCAGTGGCTGCATGAGAAGAAGAACCCGATGAAGTGGGAATGCAAGATTGTCGAACACCTGAGAGCAATAACAACACATCCTGCAACTCCCCAGGAATAATTACTGTCCCTCATAGTGGAAGTCTCTTGAAAAAATGGCCCCCCTTGAGAAGGTGGTAAGGTTATCGTTCCTTCAAGGACTTATCAGTAACATACCACCGGTCACTAAAGCGCAATTTGTTTTAACCGGTTTTAACAAAAAAAATAGTTTCCTTAGTGATAATCTCATATTTTTTCCAAAAGGAATCTAAAAAAAAAAGATGAAAAATTTCTACTGTTACACCCTCCGTAACTCTGGAATGGTTCAATTTAGCGAGATTATATATGAGGCCATTTTTGTTCGCAATTTACTGTAGATTAGATTACGCTAAATAGTATAGGTTTTTTAAATATTTAAGAAAAACTTATCACAACTACTAATTTTCCAACATTTACTTTTATTCCAAGTGGTTATGTTTCAAATTTCATTTGAATGCCTCCATAAATAAGAAAGTTGGCACTGCGCATGCGCAAAAACAAATTTTGAAACTAGTGATATTTGCTTTTATTCAAAGTGGCTATGTGTCAAATTTCATTTAAATCCCTCCATAAATAAGAAAGTTGGCACTGCGCATGCGCAAAATCAAATTTTGAAACTAGCGTTATATTTATATTTGCTTTTATTCCAAGTGGTTATGTATCAAATTTCATTTAAATCCTTCATAAATAAAAAAGTTTGCAATTCGGTTTATAAATGGTCGAAATGCGAAAAGAGCATTGTGAATGTTGATCGATTAGGCTCAATTTTTGGAATTTTGTTTTATATGGCTAAAGCTATACGCATATTGAATTTCATGCAATTCGGTTCATAACTCACGGAGATGTCAAAAGGGGCTTCCTTATTTTTTGGGTTACATTGCCAGTTCACGAACTCCGATCTACAAATTTGATAAAGAATCTCGTAAAGAATCCACCTACAAAATTTTATCGTAATCGCTCCATTCGATATCGAGATATCGTGCTAACGGACGGATAGACGGACAGACACCGCAAAATTATAAACTCGCTAGGAGCTCGTTAATAAATGATAATTTTCTTCCATGGGGATCGTGGTCCCCATTACACTGACTGGCCGCGTTACCTGTACGTTATATGGCAATACTTAAATTTGTGGTAGCTCGGGGTTCCCCAGTAATATTGGTAATGCGTTTTCCCAGGTATTCCACAAAATTTTCGAGCTTCTCTACACCAAGGTCCCAATGTCTCTACTGCGAAAGGTATAAAAATATGGTTCTATTCTGTAAAAATTGAACTGTATTTCCTTATTTTAATACTTGCCGCAGATTCAGCTACCACACCCTCGTTTTACTAGAAAATTAATCCAAAATATTTCAGTGGTGCCAAGTCATAAAGCTAGGAAAAACTGTCCCAAACTACTTGGGTGTGGCGCCTACTCTTAGATTTTGACTATCTGGGAGATGTCAGCAAAACACAAAATAGCAAAATTGTACACGAAAAAACAAACCGGTGGTATTATACAAAAAAAGACCCCCACAATGTTGGGGCATTGTTTAAAAAGTATTTAAACAATGGTTGGGGATTGGGCGCCAGCTCTGCGATACGTTTAAAGAACATAGCGCAGCTATTGCTTTTGGTAGTCATCGAACACAATGGTGGTGTTAGAGGCTAATAAACCACCCCCAAAAGTTAAAGGCTTTTTGCAAAATTTATAATTGCGCTAGGTTAACTTGAGCGCTAGGTCTACAGAACAGAAAACATCAAATTTTTACCCGAAAAGACAAAATGGTGGTGCCCCTTCCCCCCACACTATTGGAGGGTGATGACAGCTCTAAAATTTGTGGCGCTAGGTCAGCAAAACACAAAACGTCAAAATTTTACCCGAAAAAACAAAATGGTGGTGCTAGGAAAAATTGCCCCCTGCACTATTGGGGGGTGGCGCTAGCTCTAAAAATTGTGGCGCTAGCTGGCGCTAGGTCTGACGAACACAGCGCTTGCTTTTGGAAGTGATCGGACGCAATGGTGGTGCTAGCGTTAACATAGCACCCCCCGAAAGTCAAGAGCTTTTTTGCAAAATCTATAATGGTGCTAGCTGAACTCAAAGTGGCGCTAGCTGGCGCTAGGTCAGCAGAACACAAAACGTCAAAATTTTACATGAAAAGACAAAATGGTGGTGCTAGGAAAAATTGCTCCCCTCACTATTGGGGGGTGGCGCTAGCTCTAAAATTTGTGGCGCTAGCTGGCGCTAGGTCTGACGAACACAGCGCTTGCTTTTGGAAATGATCGGACGCAATGGTGGTGCTGGCGTTAACATAGCACGCCCCGAAAGTCAAGGGCTTTTCTGCAAAATCTATAATGGCGCTAGCTGAACTCAAAGTGGCGCTAGCTGGCGCTAGAGATTCTAGCGCAATCTGTCTTTAGTCAAAAATTTGAAATGGTGGTGCTAAGTTAACGGAGCCCCGGCCCCCTTATGGGCAACAACCTTTCCCCGTTATTAACTTAATTAGAATCCCAGTTATTCATTTATAACAGATACAAGTGACAATTGCCACATAATTGTAAAGTGTGTTACAAATTTATAAATATACCTACCTATTTTAAAAATATACAGTGTGAATGTAAAGTCAGGAACTATCACTATCTCAAAAACAAAAGACGATTCTTCCTCTGATGTGACATAGTTCCAAACTTTATACACTCGCACTGTATAGTGCTGGTCCTTTATCGGAGGTTCATTAACATTCTGTATTAGATCAGAAAATATTCTGATATATGAAATTTGTGTAATTGCAGATAATGGTTACACTGGCAATAGAGCGCAAAGTGGTAAAAGGTATTTATAAATTTCAAAACGTGCGTCCGGTTTCCTGTATGCCTATCTTTTTCCATCAACAGTTAAGACATTTTAGAAAACATGTATTTTTCCAGTTATGATACGATAAATGACATGTCATTTACGTTGTACATTTTTACAAGCGAGACCTAACTGTAGGTAAATAAGTAGGTATGTAAACATTAATGTGCTAATATAGTTTAAATTAATTCGAGCGTCACAGGTGCACGTACTACCTACCTGATGTTGTGTACCGCGCGCAGCTAGAAATTCGTTTTATGCTTCAACGATTTGTGCTGCACAAGTTGGGGAACAACCTCGCCAATGTTTTATACTTACTTATTTACAATCTGCGACAATCGGTGATCTTGTAGTGATCAGTGAAGTCAAATGTACTCTTTTTTGGTAAGTTGTCCATGTGAAATATCTAAGAAATTGTGACTTTTGTGGTATTGGTGTCGGGAACGAGTAATGTATACTAAACTAATTTGAAATCTTCATTTGAATAAGAAACCAAAACACAAGTCGTGAGTTGCTTTGATTTAGGTATGCAAACCTCTTCGGTGACAGAAGTTACACTTCAATTAACACAGTGCTAGGCGTGTACATCGTCGATTTTATTACACTCGGTACCAATAATTAATAGGAATTATGGTATGTTGGTCGTATTCATTCAGTACCCCATTCCGCAACCAAAAATAAATTTTGAGGCAAAGATCATGGATCTAATTTGCTTTATATTAGCATTTACATGTATTATTACTTCAAAATGTTATTTTGCTTGAGAAAACATTACATAATGTTTATAACTATAGATAGCTATTGCGTAAAAGGTTAAGGATTACCTACTTAAATTTAGACGTACGTACATCTTTCATGGTCAACACTGAAAACATGCATGGTACCCACTTTTACCAAGTAGAAGTTACATATTTTATAGCTCGTCGTTTCGAATTTTGAACCGTTTCCAAATGGAATTGGTTCCAATAATAGCTATTAAGATAACTTGGTGTTTTATAGGTACTTTAGGACCCGAAGGAAGGAGGTTTTAATGGGCAGAGTTTTTTTTATAACACTGAAGCTTATCGACCCTCGAGAACGTTTATAATTTTGTATTGCTGTCCGTCTGTCCGTGTGCACGATAACCTTGCTTAGAAATCAGAAACGTCCGATCGCTTTAAAAATTGGTACGCATGTTGTTCTTAAGGATATCAGAAAGGTCTCTATTGTCTTTCAGCTATGCAGATTATCAGGCGAACTCGAGGATCGTCCGGTATCCATTTGTATCGGATTTTTTTATCCAAATTCGTCTTTTATTAATATTTCATATTTTCATCATGAGAACAAAATGTTTCTCAGGGCTGGCGCAGGTAGCAACCATGGTAATAGAGTAAAATAAATTAGGTACGAACAATGAAGCAGCGTCCCTACTTTAAATAGTATTAAGGACATTACCACGGGCGACGTACTATATAAAGAACAATGAATTTTATAGATAACATAGAAAACAATCCAGTTTAAATGAACCTTAGAAATGGGTTAAAATGTCACTGTTATAAAAATTACTGTTTCAGTAGCTTTCTTTTTTTTCAATGCCGTGTATAAGCGAGCTGAATACAAACATCAATTTTTAATTTCCCCATCGACCGCAAACACCGAAATAACTTCTATCGCTGTGGAGTGGACCATCGCTTTTTTATGTCACAATATATCTGGAGTAATTAATAGGCCACCTCAAACTTCATAAGAAGTAAACTTCTTTTATAGTTCCCTTGTTTGCACATTTAGGCATAGTTTAACCTTATCTCTTTAAGAAAAGATTCAAAAAAACTAATTTAGGGTATGAAGCAACCCACTACGATAAACTTCACAACATCCTTTGACTTTCCCCAAAGCTCCTTTATTCCAAAAATTTTCATTGCTGCATTTCGGAAATCGCCTTGTTTTACGAGGCGTGTTTTTTAAGTAAGGTCCGTTTGAAAATAATAACAAAACGAAAGCAAAAAAAACCAAATTTATTTTCAAATTCCTACAGACCTTGCGCCAAACGATTTTCATCTTTTCCGCAATCTCAAACATCATTTCGACGGCAAGTACTACCTACAAGTATGACGTAGAAGTGAAAACGGCTGTGTCCACTTGGTTAACGGAGCAGATGGCAAGTTTCTATTCAGTTGTTTGGTATGATAAGTGTTTAAACAAACTTGGTAACCATGTAGAAAAATAGAGAAAAGTAGGTAGAATTTGGTTTTTGAAAATTATCTTATTTGTATACGCTATGAGGATCTCAGGGCAAACACAGATAAAACTTATCGATATTATTAGAACGCGCACCTCTGATTTTCGTTAGTGGACGCTTGTGGTTCCAGAAATAAAGAAAACATCTTGCAGAGCTGAGTATAATTTGGGCACTACTCTTGTGCAGATAAAGCGCATTTTTTTAAACCGAAATAGCATAGTAAATGGTTGGGCTATAAGGTAGCATGCTATATTTATTGATGATCAACACTATTCAGACACTTTGTTTCCAATATATTCGCTTCGACTTTACCAATAGGTACGTCTCATCCAGACGATTCATTTTGCCTTTGAGGGTCCTTTCCTCCGACATAGCGTTTTCGAGATATTAGCACTTGAAGTTTTGACATCACCAATTTATATATAAAATATTTCTTCCAGACGTCCCAATCGCCCTTTGAGAGTGCCCTCCTCCGACAATCTGTTAGTGGAATATAAGGAATTATATCCGATCCTTTCGTTGAAATCTTTCCTTAGAGCACCATGAACCAACGCCCTCTTTTGATAAGGGGTCAGAAAGAAGGGCTGTAGTTGGTAGAAAACAGTTCCTTTTGTTGAGAACTTTGATTATAATACCATGAAAAATAAAATTAATTTTTAACCCCCCCTCCCCTTCCCGCTCACCCACTGATCTCGGAAAGTAGTCACGTGGGAAAGATATAATTTGTACTAACCAATTCATTTCGATGAGACCTTTCATTAGAATATACCATGAAGGGCAGAACGTGTGTTCACTCTCAGGAAATAATTCATGGGGGCCCGCCCCCCTTAAGATAAACGAAATTTAATGGCCGCCTGGCACACTTTTAAGGTATAGGCTACCTATTCCAAAAAATTAGAAGACTCTAGGACCATTCCCCTAAAAGTAGTTTAACACGACAGAAGTGGGTCCGGACGAACGGATGGATGGACGGATAAAACACAAACAATAGCACATTTGTTTATTCTTAAAAAGAGCGCTAAAAATGTGTTCTTCTTTATTTGCAAAGCTAGTGACTTACAGACTTACCTTCTTCATTTTGCCAATTATATTCTCCGAGGCTTGTTCCAAAGAGGAAATTTCTTTTAGGCCACCTCTCCAAAATGCTATGAAAAAATTAGATAAACGTAAACAGTTACAACATAGCCGATTTTGTTTAGGAATTGCTCTTTTAGTCGAACGAAGCCACGCCTTGGACATCAAATTCCATACTCGTCATAATAGACACCTTTTCGTCCTTGATAAGTACATAATAACTATTTATAAATGCAACGAGTACAAGATTTGTTTTAATTAATACGATTTTCATTAATTTTGAAAGCAGATCATATTTAGGTAATATTTACTTGCGTTTCTTGATCAAAATACCCAGGCATCCAAAATGTAGTTACTTTGCTGCACAACTAATTGTTTTTTTACGCCTTTTGATCACAAATGCATCTTGATCAAATACACGTGGTTATCAAATATGCGCAAGATTTGGGATCAAGATAATGCGTTTGAAAGCCTCCCCAAACCACAATGGTTGTATAAATAACAATGCTGTTGGGCACACTTTGCTCCAAACCTTTACACCTCGCCCAGAGAGGGGAATTACAGTCAATTCCTACACATCTAAGGGTCCTAGAGAATAGGTAATATACTGATTTCTATTATTTTAGCAATTCATTTTTCCCGTTCGCAATCCACTTTGTTTCTGTTGACTTAGGTACCTGAAAATCAATAGGTAACGCCCTGTCCGAATGTTGAAATTAATTATCCCTCGTGCACACGGACGTATAACAATACAAAACTATAACGGATCTGAGCCTGAGGATCTTTTATAATAGCAAATTGTGATTTGTGAAAAAAGTCAATGCCATGCTGTAAGATGCTTAAAAATTACAATGCCAACATCGAGAGAACGAAATATCAGAAGAGCGTGTTTACAAAGGGAGCGTGGTAGGTTGTAAATCGTTTGTAAACGATTACCTTTCCATTTGTTTTGTTAGTGCTTTATCAGCATTAATAGCAAGATATGAAGAATCGCATACGCTTTTCAGTAGGGGAATGTTTTTTACACTCAGCTCGCATGCGGAAACGCTACTTTTAATCCGGCTCATATTCAATACCATAGCACTGATCCATAGAAATTGATTGGTGAAGGTCTGACATCGTTGTTTCTTTTCGTTCTTGAGGAACCGGTGGGCAGACTGACAAACCGTCACATAAAGGGGATTTCTTTCGAAAAATCAGTCTTATCTAAAATAAATTATATTATTTAAACAATAATTAGCAGTGGGTAGCATATGCCAAATAATGAACAAAATACTAATATTAATAAATTCATACCTACCGGTTGGTAAATCTAAAACCGCCTTAATTAGAAATATGATATTGTCATGCAGTTTTTAATGCACATTTGACCACTGAAGAAGACACATATTTGGCGGTGATTTCTCCTTTTGCTCATTTTATCATTTTATCGCCTTGCAAAAGGTGGTTAATTTCGCCCATAAGAAAAAGCAAAATTCTGTCATTCAGGAGTTGTGCGCGCTTAAAAGATCTTTCCGTCGACACCAGTTGGAAAACAATCGGACCAAAACCACGTTCGTAAACTATGCTCGGGATGGCTCCCAGACGTCGCCGACCCCGCATCATGTAGCCCCGTCCCTTAAAGTTAAAGTAATTACAACATTAGGAAACGGAGCTACATGATGTTGGCGACATCTGGGTATCATCTCCGAGTGTGGATAACTAACGTGATGATTTATCAAGTCCTACAATTGTTAAAATATATTTTACACTTGTATAGCTTTTTCATAACACAACTCATTTGCATATACCGAATTCATTAGAACTATAGTTACAGGCAGATTACTTGTAACTCGTCGACTTGTTACAATTGTATAGTTTGTGTCTCGGTTTGTGTTATATAGGCTCGCCACTCGCCAGTTATAAATTGTAATTCTGTTTTTGGTGGCCATTTAATACACAGCTGGTTTTGTGCTTGCGTGTTTAGGCCTTTGAATCAGTATGAATATCTGTAAAAAGTCGGTTCTTCGAATGTTATCAAGAGGAAGAAGATAATAGCCTCCTCTTATTCATTATGAAGAAAAAAAGGCAAAAGTTGACGAGATGTTTTGCTGAGAGAGGTGGAGCGGTTTCAATTCCAACTGAGAACCACTTGAAAGACAATTTTGTAATATCCATCCATACTCCTACCGCATCCTCTAGTCTATTTAAATAAAATTTTAAAACAAACACAAAAATTCAATGATTCTTATCAGCATCTCCTTGCTTGATAACAAAATAAATACCCAAGTAGTTAGGCGCCTAATGATGAACTTATCCCAATGATGTAGGTGAAACAAATAAAGCATTTTATCCGTGAAAAACCTAAGAAGTCGCATATTTATTGTTTAAACAACATTTCATCTCCAAATTGTTCAGTAGCCAGAATACATAAATTTTGATAAAATAAATTTATAGGTCATGAAGTAATTTGGAGATGAAATGTTGTTTAAACATTTATTGTTTTGTGCATTCGGGTGAATACCTATATTGTGTCAGAAGATCAAGTTGCTCAATTAGAGTTTGGTTTCAGATCTCCATTGAAAAATTATGCCATTCAACATCAACACACTCATGAATGCAACGTGAAGTTGGAAGTTATGTGAATTACTCACAATGGAAAACATTTTTAAAGTCAAGGTGAAAACAAATCCCGACCCACGATGGCTGTACCCATCTGAAAGACGTTATTCTGCATCCATTGTCCTAGGCCTTGGAGTGGTTCATCTGTCATTTGCACTAGTATCTCTACTAATGGCTTCACTTACCATTACCTCGTCAACAATGAATACAGAAGGATCGCACAATGAAACAGATGAGAACTTCACTAACAATACTCATAATAGCGAGCGAATTGATCCGTCGACTTCATTAACATTGGGACCCTGCCTAATGTGCATAGGCGCACTTGGCGCCGGATTGACGGCTCTGCTGGCATGGAAAAGATGGTACATGGACCACAACATATGTTGGTTCTTCCTTATGTCAGTAGTGTCAACTACGACGTCACTCATATGTTTAGTTTTAGTTATAGTTCTTATTATAATAACCAACTCAAAGGTTGTGCGTCATCCCAACACTAAAGATATGATCACCATAAACATATTAATCGCATCAGCTTTGGAAGCAATTTGGTCCACTCTCTCAGTCAAGGTTAGCTTTAGCGGAATGAAGAATAACTACCCAGACGACATAGTGATTCCAAAAATGGGAGGAAAGGTAGAAGTTAACACGATTCATCGAGGGAATTTGAAGGGACAAGTGGTACCGCCCGATATTCTCAGTCATTATTGCGAAAATATTAAAATACCAAAACACTTGCAGAAGAAAACGAATGGTAATTTACCAAACGATGAAAGTAATGCGGAGTATTATGAAAGAGTTAATAAATTTCTGACTTCTGATATCGACACCAATTCATCAGCGTCACTAAGCGGGAAACGAAGTAGCAACAAACAAAATGATTTCTCAGGCTAGATTTTTGTGTACACGACTGATTAGTGTTTAAATAAATATTTTTTTTATTAATTTTTATTTTGCCTGTTAATATAGTTCTTCCAGCGTTTATTTTTCTAAAAAACCCACAAGCGATGAGTCGGAACTCGGGTATCGATTGCGAAAGAAAAGGTGAAATTAGCATTGGATGGTAAAAAAAGGATTAACTGTGAGGATGCAGGCTCATACGCTAACTACGTAAATAGCTGCGTTTTGCAGATATTATGCGATCAAAAATGAGTTACTGTCGAGTCACGGATCACCTTTGGAATTTTTGTTTATATGGGAGATCGTACACTTAACTTCCAAAGGCGACTCGACAGCAACTCATTTTTTTCGCCCGTTATTACTGTGTTATATTATAATGGATCCAAATTCGCTCGCCATTGGTTTTAGCTTATTACCAATGTATAACAAGTTTCATTTATTTCGTCTGTGTACCTTCTTTATGAGTTCAGACACACGTGCAGCCAGACGTCAACCATAGGTACATTATGTAGTAGATAGAGTATATTGGGAACCTGTCACATCCTTGGAATTATTGCAACAAAATGTTATCAAACATATTTCATGCACCACGGGCCTATGGGCAAGTCGGTACGCTTCGGCGGGGCTCAGGGTAGTAAATAATTGTTCCGGTGTCACACTCGGCCTCGGTCGAGGTCCATTAAAGGGGAACCTGAACCCCATATTCAATAGACTGTGCAGTCTACATTTCCCGGCTGAAGACTATGAAGTTGAAATGTAAGCTATTTTGAATAAAGTGCGTTTTCGCCAGCATGTTTCTTTCTATGCAATACAGTAACTTTTCAGCACATCCATGTAAAGTACCATTTCGATCCATTTTGCATTTTTTGAACTTGCTCTGTTGTTGTTGCGTTAATAATTAATTTTTATGATGTGGACAAAATGGGAGTCTGGCGGCCAGTTGCACAAAAAAAATAATCCAGGATTATTGTTTAATCCGGTATTAAGACATTTGATTGACTTTATATTGCAGTAGGCAGCTAATCAAATGTCAAAATTCTTGTTTAAACTCAGATTTGACAAATAATGTAGGATTTTGATTATAATTCGCTTTCCTGCAACCGGCCGTGGGTGACGTCATTCGCGTATTTTAATACTGAACGTCTATTGGCTGAAAGTTACGAGGCAACCTACTTTCTCTATTAACCTTGGGAGGGGGGTGCGTTTCATCGGCTGGCAGGGTTCCGCTGGAATCGGCAGAGTGCCATTGTGACCGAATGCGAAGAGCAGTGAACCTTGGACTAGTTGAAGAGGACCGTCGCTTTTATTATGCCCTGGTGCGTCTCTGCAAGTGCGGAGGCACGTCCCTAGGGTAACCCTAGGTTATGGCAGTGTTATACGGACTCCCGGATGACACGGCTACAAGCTTGAAGCGCATCCAGAGCGGCAATCCTTTCAGGACGAGTCTATGGAGGGCGTTCTTTCGCAGGGATCCTCCTCGCATTTAGTGTAAATGAGCCATCTTATAGGGCACTCCGGCGGCAGAACTTTCAAACATGCGGATGTCTCGCACGTCACATTTGTGACGAAAGCGAATGCTCCGCCTGCGCCAGGTAAGGAAGAGCGCTCCATCGGAGTAGCGGGACCCAGTTTCGAGGGGACTCAATCTCTCGTTATCGACCTCGTAGGGGCGTCGGGATTAGTACCAGCGCCCTCAGAGGCCGAGAAAGATGTAGTCGAGCTTTTGGCTTACGTGGCTGTCCTTGGCTCCGACCAGGAGTCGTACCTAACCGTCGGCATCACTAGTGGAGGATGGAACCTAATGCATCAGTGTGATGACGAGGTAAACCTCCTACAGAGCAATTTGCAGCACAGTAAGGGGGTGACTGGTTATAAATAGGCCGTCAACACCCGCCTCATACAAGAACCTTGGGTTTACAGCCTACAGGGGACGCGTAAAAGGTCTGCGCCAGATGGAGGACTCTCTTTATTATAAGAGGGGCAGTCAACTGACTTGCGTTTATGTCGCTAGATGAATTGAGTCTTATCTAATGGCTGATCTCTGTTTTAGGGATCTTTGTAGCTCAAAGACTTCAGCTGAAAGATGGCAGAGAATGGACCAAGCACTTGATGGTCTGCTCAGCTTATCTCCAGTTGGTATGACTCGGAAGAGGCCCCACCTACCAGAGAGCTGGCTGAGTTAATATAGTACTGTCGAAATGGTGGGCTCCCTCTGGTGATTGACTGTGATGCAAAACCCACACCATATGTTGCGTGGGTACGAACACGAACTCACGGGGCGACCATCTTCTGGAGTAGGTACTTACTTGCAAACAACTGCCCCAGCGCAAAGGGGGGAGGTTATCGATCTGACATTGGACTCCTTTTCAATAACTCACATGATCACGAGTTGGAGAGTGTCTGATGAACCGTCACTTTCAGATTTTTTTCGACTAAACCTGGCATCTCACCTCGAACCCTGCTATGGGCGATACTGTCGAAAAGCAGGGCAGATTGAAGAGGTGGCCGCATTATAGTAATAAGCTACGCCATAACAGCAACATGGTGGAACTCGGACCTCCAAACGGTTCGTAAGGAGGTTCGCAGGCTCTTTAATAGGGTCGTGCGAACTAAGCTGCCTGCGGCTGGGAAGATCTCAAAACCGCTCAGCGCAGGTATAAAGACCTAATTCGAAAGTCTAAACGAGGATTATGGAAGACCTTCTGTGGTAACATTGAAGGTTCTGAAGTTCAGAAACTTTGTAAGATTTTTTTGAAAAAGGGGCACTAACGGCCGGTATTACAAAGCATAGTTAAGGCATCTGATTGAATGTTTTTTTTAAGAATAACATCAAAGCCCTGGGAGCGTTTCTAGATATCGAGGGTGCAGCGTTTAACACCACGTTCGATTCAATTGGTGAGGCTGATGCTGAAGGCTTTGGCATTGATGGGTCAATCGTAAGAAGAATCCGCGCCATGCTGGGAAGCAGTCATTATATCCTTAAATGAGATGATGGAGATGAGCTCATCGGATGTCCGCAGGATGCAGTATTGTCTCCACTGTTGTGGTGCCTGGTGCTAGACGAGCTCCTCCACACTCTGAATGAGGACGGAGCGTATACACAGGGATATACCGACGATACGCACTCTTCGAGGACGTCAACTGGTTCTGACCAAGTCAGTCAAAGGGAGTCATCATACTTCCGCTTGATCTGGAAAGGGTACGTTGGGCGAATAAAAGAAAGGCCACTATGTCTATGCTTTGGCTGTACGTACCTTGGACCGGTTGAACCCTCAAGTGGCATATTGACTTTACACTGTAGTGGTAGGGCCAATAATACTGGATTGTACCTATACAGCAGTTAGGTAAGGTACAGAGACTCGCATATCTGGCCGAGAAAGCACTTCTGGGGACCTTTACACGTAGCTGTGGAGGCAGAGGCTATTGTAGAGCATTTAATAAGCTGTTATATGATGAAATATTATACAGGATGTTTTTTTTTAATTGCAGGTTTGGATCTGGTAGAAAAAACTACACAATTATGATAATTTTACAGTTTACTCTACAACTAAAAAAGGCGACTTCATTTGAAACAGACTAAATCAAGACCAAGTAGGTGGAGTTATGAGGGGTTCAAACTCCTGTCAAAATAAAATATAATCCTAGCCAGACATGGCAAACTAAAACCGCCTCCATTGGAAGCATCTACAAGTTTGTTCAAGTGTGCAATGGCTTGAATGATGTAAAGGGAGGACAACCATAGTCACAAGCAAGGAGCGCAACTGACCCCAACCATAGACATATGAATACTCATATGTCTATGACCCCAACACACAGTATTATTTCAAGATACTACTTTGGATTACATCTACATGAAGCAGTCAATTGCTTACATTCTATGACCGCCTTAACCGGGTCTTCTGATTTATATATTGTATGCATAAACCAATTTCAGGCAAATTTGCCTAGATAAGCTATATATGCCATTGAATAATACTTCAAAATAAACTTCATTTTGCTATTTGACTTGGTATTTATGATTTATCCTGTTTAATGTTATGCATTTAGTAAATGCCGCAAATAACTTTAGAGAAAAGCGGATTTGCCTATAGTTAAATAGTGAACTCTATTTAAAATAAATTCGCTAATTGTATGTTCTCTTGTAAGTCTATGTAAAGAACAGTAATTTTCAACTTCAAGTGCTATCACTGGCATTGTCGTTACATGGATTTTAGTTCTCTGCTATGAGGACCAATAAGACGAAAAGAACAGAACAGTGTTAGGAATATCACAAACTAGCTTCCATAGGATTATACCCTTCTACGAACAAAAAATACACCCTGCAAAAAAACTCGTTTACTAAAAGAAAATTTCTTAAAAATATTTAATTTTCACTTATTCTAAAAGAATATTAAAAAATAAATAATTCAAGGCACAGTATTTCTAATTTACAGGTAGTAGATGCTTAAGTAAACGATTTTGCCTTTCTTACAACTCCAAAGGTTCTTCCATGAAGTATTCATGATTTAACGCTTCCAAGGCACACATCCTTTTGTAGGGATTGAAGGTCAACATCCGCTAAAAACAAAACTTTAAACATAACCCCGCCGCTGCCTTTACTATATCTACCATAATAAGATCAAACGCATTATCACATATATTTGGTATCAGAGTTCTAATTTCTATCTTATTTTTTACTTCAAAGCTATTATAGTTAATAAAAACGTTAGTTGCCGGCCACTCATTCTCATGAGGTTTACCTAGTATTCTAAAATTAAGTGTTATTAGTTGAAGGCGAAAAACGGCACAAATATCTTACTGGAATATCTTACTAAGCTGGTCTCCTTCAGATGTACCGCAAAACAATGGCTTTAACATAAATAATTCGGCCATTATACATCCGACAGACCAAATATCCACTGGAGTTGCATATGATTGTCCCAGAAGCACTTCTGGAGAACGATACCATAAGGTTACAACCTGCAACAATGCCTACATAAATATGCTACTATTACGGATCACAATCGTAGTCTAACTCACGTGTTGCCAAAAGATCATGAAAGCACAAACATAAAATAAGAGATTAGTAATATTAGAATTTTAATTTACTACTTGCAATATTATATATTCCCTTGGTAGTCGATCCTGGGGGATCATTCGAGATGAAACGGTTTACACATCATATTCTTTGATGAAATGACCTACATATCGTCTCTTAAATACATTGACACAAAAATGGTTTTAACCTGATGAAGTCCATAGTTAAAAACGCCAAACAGTATAATGAGGTATAATTAATAAGGGTATAATTATGAAATAATTGAACGGTGAGGCTCAAACAAGAGACAAATATATAAAATTTTAGTCTATAATTCCCCGACACGTCCCAAATTTGAACAAATCATTTGTGCAAAGTATTTAACCTTTATTTACAGTTGAATTTTCTGAATAGTTATGATTTAATTGTTGTAGATGTCTAATTTTCAGTTATTATCAGTCAATTTAATGAAAAAGCATTAGGTTTTATATGAAAATTATAATGTCAATACAATAATGTTACGAATGTCTGCAAGAGCTGACGAACTATAATAATCATATATGGAGTTTTATAGGTAGATGAGAAATGTAATATTTCTTTCTTTTTTATTTTTGTTCCATATTTTCTCATTGTCGAATACAGAACTTGCATTTTATCCCTCCTAATTATATGAGGATACAAGATCCATGTAAACCTAGTGCTAGTCAGTCCTCATCCGAGGGTAATGATTCCTTTAAAGAGAAACAAACACCATCAGAAGAGAACGCCCCTAGACATCATTGAGATCTACATTTTTCAAGAAAACTCTCATAAACAACGCTTTTGTTATAAATTAAGTACCAGAACTTGGCCGATGAAATAGGCACTTGCAAGGAAAAATCCAACTGCATTTTCAGCTTCAGCAGTCAGAACCTCATTGCCATCAATGGACAAAAACTGGAGTTTAATCAAACATGACAAGTCGGATCATGTAAATCTGAGGAACATTTAGACACAGCTGAATCTGAGAAAAGTATCAACAGTGCTTAAGAGTTTTATCAATAAAGTGGTTGCCAGCTTGAAGAGGAACTCCAGTAAGTTTCGATGACAAGCACGTTCTATTATCTCCCTGCTTTACCACAAATCAAAAGAAATGTCACTCTACATTTAGTGTTGTCCAGACGAAAACCATTAGAAAAGACGAGGGAAAAAGCTTTGGAGCTTAAAGTACAGTAGGAGCTTACTTAGAACCTATCAAGATTAAATCCAGAACGATAACGAATTTTTTGAAATTAAAAATTTTTAATCTGTAGGTACTTTAATTCTGTAAATTTCATAAATCTGTAACAGATTTTATAGCCAGAAGATGACCGTTGGTCGAAACTAGTCGCTGTTTTTACAATTGTTCTATTAAATTAGTATGATGAAGGTTTTGTGCCTTTTTGGGATTTAACGACTCGAATAGATTATAAAAGTAGGCAGGACTCGACCATAACCTGACAAGATGAATGATGTGTAGATGATCCGAATTGTTACTTGATTTTAATCTGAGCGATTAGTTAATCATTAATTGACCAAATAATAATAATAATAATCCACACAGACATTATGTTGGAATAAAATAATCTGAAATATTTATTGCAAACCACACCCACAAAGATACCAAACGCGTTTTGACAGTATCATTAGTCAGGGAACAAGTAGTGTTGAAGATTACCCATGGTATAGATGTGGAATAGAGTAATTAGCTGCTACTTTACCTACAGCCCGCACTCCGCAGCCTATTTTCTGTTTAAAATATTACGTTCACAAATTGACTGTCCTGAAATCCTACAGCAAATTTCTTTCCTTAACTTCCATTGATACAATCACGGCAAATCCTCACCTCTGTCGAGGATTCTCACCACCGCTAATAAAATGAATATTGACTGGCATATCGAAACTCTAAATTCATTAAAACATAAGTTAAATATGTTTGGGTATGCTCTCTCTGCACCCTTAAATAGACGTGTGAAAAATTCGAATTTTGAACAAATTTGGTAAAATATCACCATTTAGAACCCTAATTAGTTTTTATTTGGAAAAAGTATTTGTTTTGGACCCCTCTATCCACCAAGGTTTTTTTAAAATATCTACTTACATGTTACATTCTGTAGTTTCCATGCATGATTAAGATGTTTTTGAGGCATCATGGTTGTCTTGTCAATATGCACTTGCACGGAAAGCTTGTATACAGGGTGTTACATGACCGCATGTAAAAAAAATTGGGTGATAGAGGGGATCAAGACAAGTACTTTTTCCAAATAAACCGAGGGTCCAACATGTTTCGTTTGGGAGCCACCCCCACAGAAATGGTGAAATTTGGATTTCTCCTTTAATTTTTTTCTCAGCAACCATAAGAGTTACAAAGATGGGTGGCACGTCTTTGAATAGGTTTTCGAGTATACCCTACCCGATTTTGAAAAAATTTTTTCAAAATTCATACCACGAAAGGGCGCATCCTTGTTTGGGGGTGCGAAAAAAATTCTGATTTCGACTAAATTTGGTATCAGGAGGTTTTTGAACATGTGAAACCATTTCTTAATTTTAATGCAACAGCGGAGAGAACAATTTAAAGGAAAACGAACAAATATTAATATAATAAAACATTTAAAATCAAAGTGCCATAGCATTCTTCAGTGGAAAAAGAAATGCAGCTCTATTTCTCATAACTCCTGCAGCAAGCCTACTTGAATTATAGATTAACGTATTCAGTTTGTAAAGGCACTATGGAACACAATTCGAGAAAATAAAATCCAATCGGTACAAAATCACTGAAGTACATAAACACAGATTCAATTACCTCAACCAGCTCTATGTAAAGATATCTGCCTGCCCCTTTGCTAAGGGCACACCTGATGTTAAATAAATCAAAACTAGAACACATTCAGAATATGATCGATCCTCTCTTTCCTTGTCTAAGGATCGATCACATATTGATTTTAATCGGAAAAGATATCTGATTTTCCTCATATCTTACCATATTGTCATTGAAAAACGAAAGGAAATGTATAAAATGTGCAAACATTAATTATGATTACAATATCTTTTATAACCACAAAATTGTGATAAAGGAAAACTGGAAATTTGATCCAATTTAAGTATGTTATCACAATTTTAATTGGGATATGGAAACAAAGCATCTTACCACGGTAGTCAGTCTCATTTCAAAGTCGTACGTTTTGGCTAATCCAAAATCGGCGAGTTTTATGTGGCAGTTTTGAGTAACCAAAATGTTTTGTGGCTTCAGATCGCGATGAACAATTCGCTGGCTGTGCAAAAAATCGACGCCACTCAAAATTTCTCTCGATATATTCTAAAATACTAGTTTAGAAAGTTTTCAATAAAACTGAAGACCTACTCTTATTTTGTCATTTGATAATTTGGCTTTGCTATTAGCCCACTTTTCTATGAAGGAGGCGAGATCTTGATCGACATGTTCAAAAACAAGAAACATAACTAGTTCGTTTTCTGACCGTTGTCCGTGACATATATCCAACAACCGAACAATGTTCGGATGCTCGTGACTGTCTAATTGTTTCAATAAGCCAATTTCTCGTAAGGTGTTCATTGGAATTCCATCTTCTGTTAAAGACACTCTAATTTTCTTAAGGGCTACATACGTGTTGTTCGTTCTATTACGAGCTCTATATACAGTCCCATAAGCACCTGAAAAAATCATTTTATATGGGTACTCGCTTCCCGGGTCAATTAATAACCTGTGCCAATAATGTTGAGGTCCTCATACGTGGTAGAAGCCTCCTTAGACATCTTCCTTGTTTAATTTTTGCACCAATAAGCGGACATACCTGAAACAAATGTGCCTATGTCAGATAAACGCTTTTAAAGTTTGTTATGAGCCAATTCCCTTAAACTTACTAGGACAGTCACTGTTTACAGTTTAAAATAGCAACGTAATTTCGCTAAGATAACAAGCTAATATGATGTATACACTATACAGTGTGGTAAATTTATTTTGATTTTCAGTTACAAGCATGTGTATACGAATTTCGCATATCAATTGTACCAATAAACATAATAAATCTACTTAGTAACTTCATATTGCCAATAATGTTCATTTTATTGGTAAATGTAGTCAATTCCATCACATCTAGTACTTACCTCATTACCTTCATTTTAACATTATTAGGTAGTTATTGCTTTTTTCAAACCACAATAACCATATCTAATCACAAGGAAGTAAGTACAAAAGAATAACTTTAGACAATTTATTTAAATATAAATACATAGGAAGTACCTAATTAATTTATGTGCTAAATACCTACTTAGATTTTGCGAGTATTTATATTCGCAAGGTCTATTGTATGATAAGAGTGTGCGTCTCTTTGTGCGAAAAATTAAACGTACATGATCTAGAGATAACTAATGTAAGCAATGAACCAACTTTCATCAATAATCAACGAAGGGAGGTAATTGACATAACATTTGAAACAGTGACTGTTTGCAGCTCAGTATACAAATGGTATGTGTCGGAAGAGCCATTACTATCTGGCCATACATACATTTGCTTTGACATTGTATCAAATGAAGCGGCTGTAGTATAGCAATCTGAGAAGAACCATTTAGGACCTCTATAGAGAGAACCTGAAGGTCAATCTCGAGAACTGTCCCGCAGGAGTGAATAACTCGGCGGAACTGGAGAACCTCAAATGAAGTCCCCTGGTGGCACGAGGGAGTCTGTCGATTGCGGGCACGGACTAAGAACCTTTTTAATAAAGCAAAAAAAAACAGGTGAGTGGGATTCATACTGATAACCACACTCATCGAATACAATAAGGTCATAAGAAAAGCAAAACGTGACTTGTGGAGGAGATATTGCGAGGAAATTGAAAAAATGCCAGAAGGTGACAGACCCCAAAGAGCTTTACAAAAAGGAACAAAGGGCAGAAGCGGTTCCTTAAAGAAAAATGAAGGCTTATACGCAGAGCAAAGGAGACCGTAGAGCTTTGGCTCGACAGATAGTGAACCTAACTGCAAACTTAAGTGGGCAGTGAAGACTTTCCATCCGTATAAATCACCACGGATTGATGGAATTTTTCCTGCTCTACTACAACAGGTCTCAACCTGTTAGCCTCCACACTATGTACATGGCAAGTTTTGCTCTAGGATATATACCTATGGCGTATCCGTTGATGGACGTAAAAATCGTATTCATACCAAAATCTGGGCGAGACTCATCAGTCTAACGTTGTTTCTGCTAAAACTAATGGAGAAACTTATTGAGCGACGCATCAAGGGATTAGGTGCCACCCATCAGTACAGTAATGTGCCTATATCAACCAGGACAATCCTGTGAACTTGCTATCCATAGAGTAGTGGATTTAACTGAAAGGGCGATCTCCTGTAAGGAGGTGGCTCAAGGGGCGTTTGAGACATAGAGGGGGCGTTTAATAATAGGGCTCTAGAATCGATTAGAACTGCCATGGAAAGCAAGGGAGTACATTCTACCATGTGTAGATGGATACATACCATGCACCATGCTAAAACAGGAATATTAAAGCCTTGCTTAATAACGTTTCTGAGTTCTCTCTCCGCTGTTGTGGTGTTTGGTGGTACGCAGACTGCTGAGAAGATTAATTGAGCGGACTACACCACAGTTGCCTATGCCGATAACATACTTGGCAGATTTGAGAACAGTATCAGATTTCATTTATTTATTTATTTTTGCCTCTAATTTTGAGTGGGCGGGGTTTCAGCCAAGACTGATCTACCAACCCAACCCACTATACATAGACAAATATCCATGCCCGAACCCAGATTCGGACCAGGGAACCTTTTAGTACCGCAGCCAACCTTCAACTCAACTGCGCCACACGGGTTGGCATAGTGGACATGGTAGTAAAAAGAGGGCTTGTTTGTTAATCCAACAAAAACAAACCTCATTCTCTTCTCACGTAGAAAAGCGCTGACAAATCTAAGGGGCATAGCAATGTACGCCACCAAGCTACACGTAGTGAAAGAAGGAAAATACTTGGGCGTCACGTTAGACCAAGAGCTTATCTTCAATTCACATCTGGAAAAAATAGCGAACAAAGCCTCAGCTATGGGCCTGCAGGCTAGCGTTCGGGAGTACAAATGATCCACTGGATATAGTCCGTAAAATGAATGACTTTCAAAAACGGATTAGTGATTATATTAATGCTGCCCCTGAAGTTATATATCGAGATATCCTTGCCGTTCTAATACGTAACATTTCTCCTACGACGTATGTGGTTTTTTTGTTTTACCGATTTCGCGATAAAAGAAGAGCGACCCTACGTTATAGGCGTTTTAAGTGTTACTAAAATGACTATACCAATCATTACGCATGCGTCACTGGTGTGGTGGAATAAGAGCTTCGGCCAGAAGAACATGCATATATTTAGCAAGGTCCAGCGCAGAGCTTGCCTTGGAATTACGGGGGCAATGATAACGACCCCTACGGTAGCTATGGAGACCTTCTTGCACTTACTGCGGCTACACCTAGAAATTATGACAAAGGCGCTCAGAGAGGCATACCGGCTGGCGGCTGAGACACAATGGAGGGGAGCGATCGTAAAGGGTGGGGCTTTCGCTCATCTTTGATGAAATCTCCAAAGATAAAACCCTCAGCATGATAACTGAGAGGATAACCAAAACAGTTTGTCTTACAACACTGTATAACCCCTGCTCGATACGACTGGAAGGATAATTCCAATCAGGTAAAGCGGAATGGAATCGTGTATTACTCAAACGGCTCAAAAACTTCGGAGCGCACAGGCTGTGAAGTGCACAGGGCTGCAGAATCTCTGTAAGCCTAGGACAAAAGTCTACCGTGCTCCAAGCGGAGGTATATGCAATCCTGACTAAACGCTAAACGCAGTAGGCAGGCGTGTGGCATTACATATACAACAGCCAAAAAGGAGATTCAAGCAAAACTCACGAAAGAGTACAGCAGACATTGGTAAAAAATTCCAGAACGGAACCATTCCAAGATCTTTCTGGAAACCCTAAATGGGGAATTAGCATCGTCCATCTTAAAGCTAACTAGGATGAAGATAAAGTGACAGACATGGTCACAGGTCACTGTCGTTTGAACAAGCACCTGCACAAAAGGGACTGACTGACAGCCCGTTATGCAGGGGTTGTGGTGAGGAAGAAAATTTTGGCTTAAGGATTTATTGATGTGATTGGATTTTTTTGCAAAGAATGATGTTAGGTATTCTTTAAAAAACACCCAATCACATGCCTTAACAACATGGTTAGCTGACGAGTTAAGTATGCTTTATAATAACGGCCGATAGATATGTGTAGGGTTTATATTTTGTATTTTAGAGTACATATAATGGCTATTTGATTTCTAATGCTTCTAGGGACCATCCGAGGCCTACGATACTTACAGGCCGGAGCGCTCGAAAAAGTCACGTGACGTTAGGAGTCATATGAAATACATTACGGCTTATGGAAAATGCGTGCGCGGCTCCACTATTTATTTTTTTACTCCGGATCCGTTCAACATAGAGCCACGAAATTTCAATGAGAGCTTGTCAATAGTACACACAATCAAATTATGGTGTTCGTTAATTTTTAATAACACTAAAAATAATTAATTTTTAGGTTTAAAGTATTGAAGATAAAACGATGTTAGTAAATCCGCGTTTTTCTATCTTTACATTATCATATTTCTTTTTCTAGGAACTATATCATTATAATCCTTTCGGTGTCTTAAACTAGAATGATATTCGCCTCCAATTATGCGTATATGATGCCTAATCTGATATTAGTATAGTTTTAAAAGGCCCTACAAAATCGCGCATTTATTATCCGCGCAGAGAAAAATTCAACATGCGAGAAACTTTTTTGTGATTGCTATAATTGTATCACATATATCGAATGAATTGTGACCAAAGGACACAAAAATGTTCTTCAGAAGGAATTTTTAAGAAATGGTCTCTTGTTTCCTTTTTTTTCAGCAGCTGAAGTAAATAGCGCGATTTCAAGAATAAGTGAACGCGCAAAGGAATTATTATGTTTCAAATAATTGTTAGTAATCCATTTTCAAATTTGGTATGTTGTTGTATTTGGTTCTAATCGGTTTAACCGGAAATTTAAGTACAAACAGACAGACAGACATCATCAAAATTTTGTTTGATTCGGGTTCTTGACACTTCAGAACATGTATTTCCGCCAAAAAGGTAGAGCTAATTTTTTTTACCTCAACGCAATACCTACCTCCCCTGCTAACGTGCGGGTGGTAATAAGATAATAAGAGACCTTACTTTTGGGAATTGCTCTCTTATGTTCATTCTTAGTTCGGCTCTTAAAATTAATCTCGAAATTAATCCTCATCGTTTCCTAATCCAAAATATCCAGAATATCTCGCAGAATGTATACCTTTGTAAAGACCGGTTTTCCTTGCAGATATCAGTTAAACCATTGAATAAAGTGTTTTTATTCAATGGTTAAACTTACTTAACTTAATCCTTACATGTTTTATTAGTTCAGTTGTTGGTAAAGAATATTCATTCATTTTAGCTCAAGTTGAACTTATGTTATGACCATAATTATTTTTGAAATTACTGGTCTTCTTGAAATCCGTCTGTACGTCCGTCCGTCTGTGCGCCCGTCATTACATATACAGGGTCTCCGATAAGTTTCAAAACGGTCGATTATTGGGAAAATGATATACGAAATAAGGTTTATACAATAGTTTTAGGGTTCTTCAATGAATACTAGGCAGTAATAATTTTAATTATACAGGGTTGGTCATAAAGGCGTGGCACACCAAAATTTTTTTAATCGAACACTGTACATTATTCGATATTTCAATTCTTCTCCCAATTTTAAGCAAAATTTGAAAATTTTTTTCGGGCTTATCTAGTATCTAGTCTAGTATTGAAAATAACCACTATTATTTTAAAATTATTAATATCTAATGAATGAATGTATAAAAAGAACAACAATTAATAACATTTAATTAATTATTAAGGATTAATTATTTATTAATCATATTTCAAATAATCATAACAAACTTCCCACATAATCTTTTCAAAAGAAATTCGTGACCTCATTAATTGTTCATTCAATAAATTTTTCAAACAAACGTTTATTTTCAAAAGTCGATACCCTGGAAACAATTGAATTTGGCGAGGAATTTGGATACTTACATTATGCTTCTTACAAATGTAGCTTAAAATGGAGAGAAGAATTCAAATATCGAATACTGTGCAGGGTTCTTTTTAAAAAAATGCAATTTGGTGAGCCGCAGCTTTATAACCAACCCTGTGTAATTAAAATTATTACTGCCTATAACTAGACATTGAAGAACACTAAAACTATTGCAGGAACCGAGGTATAAAGTATATTTCGATACTTTCTATCGTTTTCCCGATAATCGACCTTTTCCAGACTGATCAGCGACCTTAATTGTATAGGTTCCTCTTGGCAGTAAGATTGCTACGAGTTTGGGGTCAGATCAATGGCGGTCGGCCTGTGCGCCCACTTTGGCGACCATTTACCTCTAGACTCTAAATTCAATAGAGACTTGGACCAAGAGAAACCTACATACTTTCAAGAAGTAAAAAAAAAGGTTTTCGATACTCCGTTGTATCCGCTTATTTTTGAGGTTTTCTTCGGTCCCTTTTTCGTGCTATTAAAGTAAATAAATCGATACAACAGAATACTGAAGGATCCCAGTATTACCATCACTTTTTAACGACCATTAATTTTAACCTTTCAAAATACATATAGTCAACAAAAATACACCAAATTCATATCTTGGTCTTTTTCCAACGATCTTGATGCATGAACACCAATTTTGTCATGTTTTGATCAGAATACATGTGGTCGCCAAAAATGCATCAAATTCATGCCTTGGGCATTAAAAAACTCTTGGTCTATTTCCCAAGGTTTCATGGTTCATAAACAGCGATTTTGACAAGCTCTGTTCAAAATACATGTGACCTTTCGGCATCAAGAATTCATGTATATATCGAGGTATATATGGAATAATTGTGGGTACATTTTGCTCTAAAACTTTTGACCTAGACCAAAGAAAAGAGTTATATTAAATTGGTACAGATCTATAAGGGAATATCCTAGCGAAAGTCCGAACTCGATACATGGCCTAGAGAATGAGACATGTTGATTTCTATTATATTGAGCTAACAGTTTTTCCTGTTCTCGATTCACTTCAAAGTCCGATAACCTTTATTCCTGCTGAGCCTCGTGTTGAGCCAGCTTCCTGAAAATCAATAGCGTTCATAGTACCCGTACGCCAAATTTCAACACGATCAGACTCTTTCAAAAAGAGTATAGCGCATACGGACGAACAGACTGACAATAGAAAACTATAAAGGATCTGAGGATCTAATAAGCAAAAAAAAGAATTTACGTTCCCGTTATCATGCGCACAGACGGACACACGGGTCCTTAATAAAATGAAACATATCTCTCATGGATTTTTTCACCACATGCACTACTCCCACTAACCTCCACGGGCCCGGGAATATTTGATTGCCGAGGCCTTATGGTTGCTAATTTTTCTCTAGACATTTTGTTCCTGTGTGATCACTTTAACGGAAAGAGTAGATAAAGTGAAACAAATAATTGTGAATTTTCACGACATCTGTTACTTAATCTTACTAAAATTTGGACGCGGAGCGCGAAATAAATAGTTCTTACTTTCGGAACAGAAGACGGTATTGTTTCCGAGATTGTTTCTATGGAAACGACGGGAGAACTTAAGCTTGCTATTTTTGACGTCTAAATTAAATTCAGCATTTTCAGAAGTATTATAATGATTTATATGATTTCTGCTATAAAATAAGGTTTTGTATTATACATTTCCGTACATTTCGGATTCACAATGAAATAGCATTTGTGACAATTAAATGTGGAAAATCGCATCAGTGATGTGGTAAGCGTTTTTGAGGATGGATTGCTGGACTTGGGTCACTTCCACGCGAATTGCCTCCTTCCACTAGTCCAGAGTTTGGGGCTTATGCTCGTAGACAAGAGCTTTGAGATGTTCCCGAGGGTGTCCCCATAGGAAAAAATCGCAGACGGATAAATCTGGGGATCGAAGAGGGCAATGAACATCAGCAAACCTGGAAATAGGGCTCCGTGAACACGATAACTATCAAACGCTTGGACCGATTCGGTTCAAACTTTGCACAGTTGACCTCGGTTGACCTATACGCCACAAATAATAAGCCTATTGAAAATGGGTCAAATCCAATGACCCCGTAGAGTCACACCGAGCTGTTCTGTCGCTTTTTTAGATGCTCTTTAGGGGTTTATTTTTTAGTAGTTTCAGTTCACCCACTGCTGTTCTCTACCTAGTACCTGAGACACTATATGGTTACATAATACATGCCTCAACTCCGATTCGTATCAAGCATTGACTAATCCCCCCCCCCCCCCCCAATTAGTCAATGGTATCAGGCATCATCTTGATCATAGACAGACTGAGAGACAACATTGAGGTTAATGATAAAATCGAGGATAAAAACGGTCGCGCAAAAATTTCTTTTAATGCGATTCTTTTAGTGGACTGCTAGAATATCGTAACACTACTCTAGGGTGTTTTATACTCAATCGGTACGCACATTGCATGTACAGAGTGTCTCATTTTCGCGTACATTGCAAGTATAAGGTGTCTCATTTTCGACACTTTTATAGAGTATCTCTGTACTTCCTGCTTACTAAAAAGTAATGTAGGCTCTATTTGGGTCACTTAAAATGGTCAAATTTGAAAATATTCGCTCGCTTAAGAGATACGGGGGAAACTAAAAAATTGTCAATTTCAGAATGACCCTATATTTTTTTGTTAAAAGTGATACAGGAAAATGTTTATTACAAAAGAACTATTATTGAATAACGTATAACCGTTTTCAAAATGAGTATACGTGGTCAGATAAAAAATGTATCAGATTTTTTTAAATGAAACACCTATTTCATTCTTAAAAGATAGCACATTCTTACACTAAAAATTTAAAAAAAAATGAAGTATTGGTTAAAAAAGGTTCAACTTTTGCAATTTTTTTGTATTTCTTTAATCATTCGATGTACCTAACCTTTTTTTTAAATGTATTTAATCCTGTTTTTAACTTTATTTTAAATCACTGGAATCTTTTTTTAATACCATCCTTAGTATGTTATACTCCTACTGCTATCTTTTTAGATTAAAATATATATAGCGGAGTTCCATGGCTCGATAACTTTTTTAGCTGACCCCGTATACTTATATTTTGAAAATGGCTGATTATTCAACTTTTGTAATAAACATTTTCCTGCATCTCTTTTAACAAAGCAAATACACGGTCATTGACATTTTTTTATTTTACTATGTTTTCCATTTTAAGTTAAGTTTGACCCCCACAAAAAGTATATATGACGCCTATATTACTTTTTTGATAGCACCAGCAAACACGGAAATATCCGGTAAAAGTCCGAAAATGGGACACCCTGCACCCTGTCTAATACCTGATGTACTTACCTATGACCTTATATTCTTTATCCTCGTATTTAGTCAGTACCTTCTTTTATACCGTTACCATGGACTGTTACCTATCCGTTTAATTTCACCAATTTAAAAAAAAAGTGAGAGATACAATGTAAACCTGGATTGACATTGATCAGGAATTAATTGTGGAATTCAGTGCTAATTTAAGGAAGAGTTGTACAAAATTTTGACAAATGAACACATTGCCCTCGACATTGCCCATGAAGGGTATTTAGTCATACTTGTTTAAACATGATAATTACCTTATTTTGTCAATTGTCACACCATGGCCTACTACCTATAAAAACGGCGAAGGCGGAATTATGAAATTTGTACCCAAATAAGTCAAAAGTTACTTACGACTGATCTGGAATTAACCATTAGATAAATTTGACGGTAAGATGAAAGACCGGGCCGTGTTCAATACCAAATTTTAAGGTAACTTACGCGCAGATGAATGTCCCTAATGAAACAATAAAAACTATAAATATATACAGTGGCCTTGATATCACTTGTCTTAACATTCAATTACCAGTCTGTATAACGACGATGGCGACTGCAAGACTTCCGACAACTTTTGCTTGAACAATGAAATGAATTTATAATTTCCAAATTAAGTACAGGAAGTGAATTCGTTAGGGTTTTTTTTTCTGTTTAGGGCTCCACGGTGCGTTAAGGTTGTTCGTTAGCGTATGAGCTTTTATGGGAAATCATTGACCATATCAAGTGTACAACGTGCACAACGTTTCTAACTACTAACTTTACACTATGTAACAGTTCAAGTACAAGGTTATTTCGTAATTTTAAAATCCCGTCCATTTAAAAAATTAAATGTCCTCTCTTTATGGCAAGATTCCCACGTTACGTTTGGACGCCTTTAAATTTGTTGAGGCGTATTGGTCAATGACTTTCTTTAAATTACTCTGTTTAGTCCAGATTTATTTAGCATAAATTGTTTACTGATAACGACGCTACAAAATTTAAAAGGTTTCATATTACCCATTCAACTTCCGGTTGATATCGACAATGGCGAAAATTCCAAATTTATCAGGCTAAGCTCCACCGACCTTGACAACCTGTACGATTCTAATTTCTCAATTTTGTAAATACCCCAAAAAAACATTACCACGACACGATCGTCTTATCGTCATTAATTTTGATAGTGACCCCCATTCATGCTTTATTCCAGAACCCGCATAAAACTTATCTAGTAAATAAGGATAAGATAATTCGAGAAATAGAGATTAGGTAAATTTCAGTGTACCTACCATTTAAATACTGCAGTCTGCAACGGATTCTCGCCCTTCAATCGATTGGTGGTAACATTTCGAGTATACGTTGTTTTCTTGAAGCAAACAGAACGAAATAAACAGCAAAAAAGCCGGTTGACCCTCGGCACTTAAAACACAAACAGCGTGCTTCGCTTTGCTTTCAAAACGTAAGAAATCATCCGGTCAGATGCAAACATAACAACCGGTTGACGGCGAACATGCGTGTCTTCGATTTCAATTCCAGATGCGGACTGGGTTCGTTTCGTTCGGCCTGAGGATGACGGACTGTGGTAGGGTGGCGCTTACAAAAACCACAAAATACGTTGCACGTTTTTCGTGTTATTACGAACATATGATCGAGAGTACTTGTACTTATATGTCAAGAGACTTTATCTCAAAACCCTGACCATCCACACCATTTTATAATCCCTTAAATCGTAAAGGCGTCGCACTTTACGCCCCGATGATTAGCGGCCGAGCAAAATCGGCGCATCAAAAATTGAGATAGTACTCATAAATTGGCAAAAGTCCCACTCTCCTATTTTAGCAATGTACCTAGTCGCAGTGTGTAAATTTTTAATTTACCTGCTGCAGAAAAGTGTAGGTCCTACAGCAAAAGTTTATAGGATAAATAAAACGTCTCGCTTAGGTCCTCACAAAATTCTAGAGGGGCCCCTTGACACTGTTCCCTTGGGGGGAGAGGCAGAATAGTCTCCTGAGTAAGTGGTAGCGATTTCAATTGAGAAAAATGCTGGATGATGTAAGGAAAATTAGAACACAATTGAAGCATAGGACGGTACAGGCCCAAAAACGGTGACGGATTTAGGTACAAATTTGCCGCCGACTGACTAAAATTCTAAATTATTTTTGCAACTCACAATTTGGTGAAAATTACACATAGTTTTTGGGTAACTTCTGAGCTGAGCAATCATGTACTAATTTATAAGGTGGAGATATGCCTTAAAAATTCTTACACCAGAGCTTACACAAAATTACTAAATTTAAATTGTAATATTGGAACACTATTGGAATATTTTAAAAATTCGTTCGGAAACACTACGAGAAATCGATTGGCGACAGTTTAATATTTCTTTTCGTTCTCGAGTTAGACGAAGAACAGACTGACGGACGGACAAAACCATTACACAATTTTTTTTCAAAAAAGTTTTGGTAGTTGTTTTGACTCCGAGGTGATGCCACGACGTTTCTGGTAACGCCGTTACAGCACGTTGCGCCGGCGCTTGGTTTAACTCTTTTTGGAGTAACGGGTCAGCAGACATGAAGGTTCAGGTCAGCGACTTTTATTGACACTCTGTCACGCTATTTAAACAGTGGCAATCCCAGATGTCAAATGGAGCTGTAACTCGGGAGGAACCTACGCTATTGGTGAACAGTAGGTGTTCTAGTCCTATACACTATGGGTGAACAATAGGACTTGGGCAACCTACGCTATGGCTAACTAGGTGTAAGAGTTCTACGCTATGGGTGAACAGTAGGACCAGAGATAGTCTTCTTCGCTATGAGGAACAAAACTCGACAGAATTTTTATGGTCATTGTCATGTTTAATTCCTCCGACATCTCGGATTACAGGAACGTCGCTTTAAGCTTAAATCGGTCGAGATTATTTAAAGCAGACAAAATAAACATTCTTTTGGGCCCACCACTCATGGGATTGCATGATATGATGTTTATTTTGATTTTTAAATTTAATAATTGGCGATTTTAGCGCCCCCTTTTGAACGGCACCCAGGGTACGTGCCCTGCCTACCCCACCCTAGTTACGCTTCTGAGTTTTTCATATACAGACGTAGACTGTACAGTACTACAATACAGAGATTTTTGTTCAATGTAGGAGACTCGTTTTCTGTATTTATACAGGGCGAGTTTTTATTACTTCTTAGCTTTGTCAAAATTTCATCAAATGTTGACATTTTATTTTAGTTCAATTTTTTGAGATGGCAACGCCTAAGTGGGCAAAATGTTTCGTTTCAAATTTTCTTGTAGCTTTACAAAATAGCGAAGCTGTGGCCATTTTCGAGATTACGCTGGCGTTCATTTATTTTTGTATGGACGGCATATTAGATTTGTACGTCAGTCGATAGAGAAACAAGTGCACAATCAGCGATAGGTACCAAATACTTCATTTATTTCATTCGGAAATTAGTCTTGAATTTTTGATTTGAAGTTTACAGTGTATTTCTTATAACAATACATACAATTCTATGGCTTGCTTAAAATTGTTGTTCGGAACAATTTCGTTGAGACGCCATCATACAGGATGATCCATAATCTGGTAGACCTCTTCACTCAAGAACACAGGAGGCGATTAAGAAAATTGAAAAGATGGTGACATGGTGTTGACAAATCGAAGAATTAAAGTTTCAGTAATTCCAGGTTCCTCAGTCCTCGCACCAGAACAGAAACTCTCAACAGGCATTTTTCGGAAAAATTTTGATGTAAAATGTAAATATAACATAAGCCCATAAGTAGTGCTCGGCGTTCAGTAACTTTCTTTTCTCCGCTATTCTCAATAACACATCTTCATTTTGATTTTCAAAGCCCTTCTCCATAACCACATTTCCAGACTTTTAATTATTTTCTTCTCCCTCTCACTTAATATCCACGTTTCCCAGCCATATAGGAAGACACTCCACACAAAACACATCACTAGACTTGTCTTCAACTCCAGTTCAATTTTACTAGCAAGTAATATATTTTTCTGCCTAAATGCGTCTTTACCCATCCCTATCTATTTTTGCTTTCATTTCTGCCATGCTTTTCGATTCAGTTCCAAGATATCTGATCACCTGTTCTAAACCATCGCCCACTTGAACAATTCATCTTTCGGTTTCCCCGATCTTCATTAACTTTTATTTCTTTTTATTAATTTTCAAACGTCCTCCTCGCCATGGCTCAAGTGCACTTTTTGCAAAAGAATAATATCGTCTGCAAATCTGACACATTTTATTTTTCTACCTCCTGCCTTCTTTCCAGTATCACTTCGACCAAGTAAATGTTAAAAATGGTAGGCCTTGATTCACTCCTCTTTCAATTTCAACCATTCTGGATTCTCGATTACGATAGGAGGGTGGACAGGATCCACGCGTTAATAGACCTCAAATTCGGACCCTTTGTACACCCTGACTAGAGTAGACCTGACCCCTCAACGTTACTAAAGCCATCCCACAGGTAAGATGAACCTAAGGATGCTGGAATGAAATGCGACTCTAATCGTAGCCATGTCCGGCAAGAATACCTTCAACATGGATCGTCTCAGTTTGACTAAAGAGTGGCATCCCTCAATACCTCTGCTATTCAACAACCCCTTATTTTTCAGATGCAAGGATGCCTGCAGAGTGGCCTATCTCTCACGTGGAGATCTAGCGGCGGCAGACCGAGAAGGGCCTCCATGACGACTGTGAGAGTTGTTCGCAGCGCGTCCGTGCAAGTAAGGTAAACGATCATTTTCACCAGCGAATCTCCGGTTACACTCAACCGATTTCGACAACGCTTTTTTTAACTGGCATCAGAATGTAACGACGCAATTAGTGAAATAAAAGAAGCACGTAGGGTTACTTAGTGCACCTTGCGTCACATTTAAAAGATTATGTGAGATCATGGATCATTGTAAATGCGCCTGAACCAGGTGAGAATGATTTCGGAAAATCACAGATGTTTATTATTCGTAAAAGGTTGAAGATTGATACATGTGCCGTTGCAAAATTGTGTTGGAAATTTGATCCTCTACAATTTATCTTCTACAAATTTGTCATTTCTATTTCCGTTTGCCTTACGTTTTGAAATAAATACGCGCGATCATGATTTTCTTAAGAAAACACTTAAGACTTCACTAGTGGAAGTGTGATATATTATTCAGTGGAAGTGAAGCAGTTGGCGTAGAGCAAGATGATGGGGCTTTCAATCTTTTGTTTATGCATCTCTCGGTATATTTTTACATATTTATCTACTCGTTACATTTTATTTTCAATATTTTATATAGATCTATATATTATATAAAAAAGATGGTGATCAAAGGAACACCTTCTTGAGAGCCAAAATCTGTTTACTCCATTGTCCTTACAAAAGTTCTATCCCAGTGAAACTGTTCATTTTTTTAGTATTAGAGCGAAAAATGACTTACCATAAGAAATCCTCTACTTTGACGTTTTTTGAACAGTAATTGTGTAAGAAGTGCTGAACATGTTGTTCCTACACGATAGGAGGGAGTACATTTTGCTATGCCTCCAACCAGTTCGGAAGAGCCCAAAATTTGCGTTATGTGGTCAATTATAAATTTTTTACGCAGTGTTTGGGCCCTGAAGGCAATACATACTACGATTTGATAGCAAAACTGGATTCTCGGAACCGGCGGCCCTCTCTCTGGTTGCGCCACTGGCGTGCTTATTCCAACATGGTATAGTCACAGAATAGGAAAATATTGTAGCGTAATCTTTATTCTGTGGTATAATTATTTATGCCGCATGGGTCTATTTGAATGGGTTTTTGTAACCAATTAATGCTTTACATTTCTAAAGTTTCAATTTATAAATTTAATAGAAGAGCTTCTCGGGATAGAATAGAATAAAATATTTAGATACGGTTCTGTGCACGACCGCTTTTTAAAGAACCCAATATTGAGTAACGGAATTTTCTTGATAGGCCACCCGCAACACGTCCCATTACTTCAATTTTCAAATCTTCCTTCAACATGCTTTATCAGTGTATTATACAATAGGTTACACTTACACCTTAAAAACGAGTTATTGGCCTTACTGCTTATATAAAACAACAATAAAATATGAGTAGCAGGATGGATAATTTACAAGAATGTAGTTAACTATTAAAAAAAATAGGGCTCGTCCGGGATTTGAACCCGGGACCTCTCGCACCCGAAGCGAGAATCATACCCCTAGACCAACGAGCCGACTTGTTTAATGTTTGATAATAATGATTGTTCTATTTACGACAAAACAAATTAAACAAATACCAAAGTAATACATTTATAGCAACATTATTTTAATAATATAAAATATATTATTAATTAATTTCATAATTATTAACTATATGTAATAATAATTTGATCTGCTATGAAAATTTTGCACTTCATAACTATGTTACATAAACGAGTTTGAATAATTTCAAGTTCTGACCGTAAAGACATTTTTGCAAATGCAACACACACTACATATTCGTGAATCATTGTAGCATAATATACCACAGCTATGATTGTAGTTTGTCTACCACTGAATATAACTACAAATGCCTAAGAAAATTTCAACATTCTTTACC